TAGATGATGAAAATTCGATAAATAAATAGAATTTCCTTTTATACTTCGCAAAAATTTAAAATCGCTATTAGACGAAAAGGAAACCTTTCCTGAATTAAATACTTCTCTATTACACAATTTTTTAATGAGTAGTAGTTTCATCCTATTCATAATGTGTATCAATATTTGGATAAAGTCCAAATCTAATAGTACGCATTCTCCTTAAGTTTGTCAAGACGAAAGATAGGGCACCTCGATTATTGGGTGTATATGGTGTAAAGAGCTTGTCTCTGCTAGAACAATTACGAATGAGTAGTGAGTTCGATCCTCACTGGGTGCCCCCTTACATTCAACCTTGTGCCACAATAGGAGTTTTGAAAAATCATTGGAATACCTCGAAAAATGTAATGGAAAAAAAGCTTGTCTCGCTAGATTTATTTACGAATGAGTAGTGAGTTCGATAAATCACTGATCAAAGATACATTCGGCCTTGTCCAGATCATGAGCTAATAATGGAAAATCAAGATATAAGACGAGGATTTGACCTCGGCGTGGATGTAATAATGAGAAAGCCTGTCTTGCTAGATGAATACACTGATATCCGAATAATATTCGATCCTCACTAGATTCCCCTATACATTCGGATGAGCCAGATCTAGATATATTTGAGAAAATAACTATAATAGACGAGGTGATATAATTCCTCAATTGATGTAAATCAGATGATGAGTGATAAAAAAACAACATAGTTCAATCTAATCCTCACTGATAGTCAAATTTAATACTTTAATAGAATCTTTGTATTATAATTCTGTTTAATATATCTTTAATGATATCTGTGTTCGTGTTGTTCTTTTCATTGTCTTCAACACAATTGGACCATCACAGTAAACTGTTGATCTGGACCAAAACATTACTGTATATTCTGAACTAATTAACCCAATTATTTGTAAATATTTAAAACAAAGTCATAATTTGCCTCGAATTTTTTCGAACTGAATTTTCTAAAAAATACTGAGTTTTATTTTCCATATTCAAATTCCTTGGACATTCAAGACTGTGATACTAAATCTTAAATGGTCAAGTTCTAAAATGAAACCCATTAGAAGTTATAATTATCGTAACAGAAATTGGAGTAAGAAACAAAGTGAAATATGGCGCACGTAAGCCAACATTTTTTCAGAAATTGAGTTAATAAACAAAGGGGCATCAGAAAATATTCAAATCTAATATATGCTAAATATAAAATCACTTTATCTTTTCAATTAAAAAACAATTATAAGGAAGGACGTTCTTACATCAACAAACAGATTTACTTTTGTCTTTATTATCTCGAAACTAAAACCAGTATATAAATATTGTTCTTTCATGATAAATATTTATTCCTTTTAATTATTGTCTGTCTATAAAATCATAAGCTTTGGTGAATAAAGAAAAATTTTTCCTAATATTTCCGATATTTATATTTGTCACCCTCTTGTCTATCTTCAACAAGAGATGGATCAAAACAACAAAAAATTGAAACATCTCTGTTAATTTATACTATATGAAAAGGATTATCATTATCACCTATTTCCTCTCTTTGTGCATGCAAAGATTTAAATCCTTCTGCCGTTTATTCTAAGATGATGTCCTATATTTGAAAAAACGGACAATTGTAAAAGATATCAATAATTTCATGTTTATGGAAATGTTTTTTAAATTTTCATACATAGATGTCCCATAGTTTTGTGATTCAATATTAGTGGAAGGCTTTTTAAATAATTTCATTCATAATTGAAAAATTGATTAACATAACATGTAAAATGAATTTAACGTTGAACCCGTTCAATAAAAAATCAATGTGATAGTTGTTTATATTATCATTTTCTCATTATTAAGTTTAAACCCTATTGTTGAGCGTAAACGGCCAAACACCAGATAATAAATATGGCCCAGAAAAACGAAGACAATAGTCCGAATTCATATATTTATATATTTATATCATATAAATATATATATATATATAATGCAAATTTATAAAATTAAAGTCGCTAAAGTTTTTGGAAAATTTTTAAAAGTTCCAAAAAAAAATTTAAATAAAATGTACAAATTTGAAAAAGAAAGAGAATCCAAACCTTTTCTGTTGCTTTCAATTCCTTTAATTAATAAGGATGATTGGAATTTCCAAATTGAGCGTGTGCATTATGTGTATGTTTTAATGTGTTGTAGATATATTTTAAATTCCAATCAGTTAACCTTCGATTTAAAAAAAATAAGGGTAAGAAAATATATGTTATTGTTATATTTTTTAATTTTTTCAATAAATTATTATTTTATTCTTCTTTTACAAAGGATAAAATTGAAGATGAGATTGGGGTCTTTAATTTTTTCTAAAGTTGCAAAACTTCACTAAGACATATAAAAAACCCTTCCCTAAAGACTTTGTTCTAATAGAAAAATCAAGAAATGTATCTTAGACATCAAAATATAAGACAGATAACAAATAATCAAACGAAGTTAATAACTAAAAATTACAAATTACGATTAATCTAAAATTTTTGGTATTCCCCATTTTTTTTTCTTTTTCTGATCATATTGAGGACTCATAAATAATTAGAGAATATTGACAATGAATGCTTATCTAGACGTCTTATTATACATATCTAATCACATCATATTAAACCCATTTTAAACACACACAAAAAAATTACTAGACTCCATTCAAACATACTAGTGAATTTGGAATAAATTCTAATGATTCGATTCCGACAAGAGTTGTCACTGAAGTTTAACTGTTCAATAAAAGAGCTAAGGCAGAAATCTTGTAATTAACAGGACATAAGATGAATAATCCAAAAAATATGGCTTATTGATCTAAACAGTCTATCTCAGAAATAAAGACAGTTCGACGTTCCAACCAAGTGAAGAAACCGGAACTAAAAAAAACGTTGACAAACAATGGGCACAAAGTCCGAATAATGTAAATAGTGTACATAATAACTCATCTCAGAAATATAGACAGATATTGAAAGGCCGAAACGGTGTAATAAATATGGCGACAAAGATGAGCACAATAGTCCGAATAATGTAAATAGTGTGCATAATACCTCATCTCAGAAATATAGACAGAAACTGAAAGGCCGAAACGGTGTAATAAATATGGCGACAAAGATGAGGACAATAGTCCGAATAATGTAAATAATGTATATACTACCTCATCTCAGAAATATAGACAGATACTGAAGGGCCGAAACGTTGTAATAAATGTGGCGAAAAAGATGAGGACAATAGTCCGAATAATGTAAATAATGTACATAATAACTCATCTCAAAGATATAAACAGATACTGAAGGGCCGAAACGTTGTAATAAATATGGCGACAAAGATGAGGACAATAATCCGAATAATGTAAATAAAGTACATAATACCTCATCTCAGAAATATAAACAGATACTGAAAGGCCGAAACGTTGTAATAAATATGGCGACAAAGATGAGGACAATAATCCGAATAATGTAAATAGTGTTTATTACCTCATCTCAGAAATATAGACAGATACTGAAAGGCGGAAACGTTGTAAAAATATGGCAAGACAAAGATGAGGACAATAGTCCGAATAATGTAAATAGTGTACATAATACACCATCTCAGAAATATAGACAGATACTGAAAGGCGGAAACGTTGTAATAAATATGGCAACAAAGATGAGGACAATAGTTCGAATAATGTAAATAGTATACATAATACCTCATCTCAGAAATCATTACTGATTCTTGTCACGCCACGCAGCTCTGCCCTTTTGGCAACTCTGATCACGCGGTAATATCTGTTAACATCACCTTCCACTCCCCATCCAGTCATGAACCTCCTACTAACAGAATATCTTTCTGTTATCAACACGCAAACTGGGACTCGTTCCGTGACAGCCTTCGCGACATAGAATGTAGTTTTTAATCAACCCGTACAAAAATGTGCATCTGAGGGTCTACTCCTGGGTAAAAGCCGGCATCGAGATTTTCATCTTATCAAGAAAATACCAAGTTAAATCGCATTAATTTCCTTGGTTTTCATCTGCTTGCTCTGCCGCTATAGCCTATGGGAATCACTTCTTCCGTCTGTACCGGAGTGACATCTCTGATTGCAACAGACTCCTCTTTTCTCTGCTCGTAGTAAGTGCAAGCAAACTTACTGTTGCTGATAGAATAAAAAGAAAAAAACGTATTGCATCTCGCAAGTTCGCTTGTAAAGATTATTGCCGGCTCTACAAAAATATGCTGAACTAAACAAATCCCCAATCCTCCTCTATTCAATCAATTCGAAGTCCCAACATCCTCAGATGATAAGGCTGAATGCTTTGCCGCTTTCTAATTGGAGAAAGTTTTATTGTGTATGGAAATCTCAAAATGATAATCAGTAGAAGAGATATCAGGTGAATATGAAGGATGAGATAAAATTTTCATAATTCAGACTATGCAGATTTTGGACACTTGATTGTGAATGATGCAACCTTGCGTTGTCGTGCAGCAAAATTGGTTCATCCCTATTCACAAGTATAGGATGTTTCGTTTTCAATTTTTCGTGTATACACACAATTTCTCCACAGTACGAGGTTGTTTTTATTGTTTTCCCTTGAGTGAATAATGAATAACCCCTTTGAAAGACCACCATACAGTAACCATTAACTTTTTAGGATGCAGTGCAGGTTTTAGGTATTGATTTAGTGATTCCCTTGCATCTAACCATTGGCCTACTCTCTTACTGCTGTCAAAGAGTATCCATTTCTCATCGCATGTAATGGTTCGATACAAATATTGTTTAATTTTTCCCAGTTTGTACTCATAAAGTAAGATTACTCGACATTGTTTCATTGTAATCATTTTTATTGGCCTTATGAGGAATAATATATTGAAAGAAAAATTATCTGGAAAGAAAAAGAGTCGGGAATAAGTCAAGACTTTCTTATATACTAAGGGGGTTATTTCGTTCGGCGACCAGAATAACAACCAAAAAAAAAATGCGTCATTTTATATGTGACTTCCTAATAAAATAGAAACATATTGCGATAGGTATGGACATAGATAGATAGATATAGATAGATAGATAGATAGATAGATAGATAGATAGATAGATATGAACAGTGTGAGATAGCTAGATATGTACAGAGTGTGATAGTTAGATTGATAGATAGATATGAACAGAGACAGATAGATTGATGGATAGATATGTCAGCGTGAGACAGATATATAGATATAGAAACTTCATAGATAGATATGTAAAGACAGATAGATAAATATGAACAGAGTGAGATAGATATGAAAAGACTGAGATAGATAGATAATGCCAGTGTGAGATAGATATATAGATAGAGAGACCTGATTGATAGATAGATAGATAGATAGATAGATAGATAGATATGACTGAGACAGACAGATAGATAGATGTATGATGAACAGAGTTCAATATTCAAGATATGAAATGAATGAGATGATATATGCCAGTGACTGAGATAGACATAGATAGATAGATAGATTGATAATAAAGCTAGCTAGATAAGGAACACACTGAGATAGATAAATAGATAGATAGATATGACTGAGATAGATTGATAGATAGATAGATATATGAATAGAGTGAAATAGATATGAAAAGACTGAGATAGACATGATAGATAGATAGATAGATAGATAGATAAACATTTTACTAAATAGATAGATTACTTCATTTAGATAGATGAAACAGGGATAGATACAAAGATAGATGTTATAGATAGATAGATAGATAGATAGATAGATAAAAGATGTACAGACTGAGATATATCACGGTCAGGAGGCCGTTCACTAGGAGAGAGAGAGACAAATGAATGTCTGATATAGATAGATCCTAGATAGATAGATAGATAGATAGATAGATAGATAGATAGATAGATAAACATGTACAGACTGAGATATATCACGGTCAGGAGGCCGAGAGAGGGAGAGGGAGAGAGACAAATGAATGTCTGTAATAGATAGATAGATAGATAGATAGATAGATAGATAGATAGATGAATCGATAGAGATATATATGAACATAGTGAGATAGATAGATAGTTAGATAGTTATGGACATATATATGAACATATATATATATATATATATATATCATGAACAGATATATAGTTAGATAGAGATAAATATGAACATAGATAGATAGATAGATAGATAGATATCAACATAGATAGATATATATATATATGAACATAGATAGATAGATAGATACATATGAACATAGATAGATAGATAGATAGATAGATAGATAGATAGATAGATAGATAGATAGATAGATCCAATGTTTCGAAGTGATATGGCCGTCATCCCAAAAGAATGAATAGAATAAATCTCAGCAGCACCCCACCTCAAAAAAGTATCAGCAAGGAAGAAATAAATAAATGAAAGTATCGCTTTCATAAAACATTGTTAGCAACGACTTCTTAAAGGGGAAAAATGCGTCGAACAAGAAAGAAATATCAACTGACTAATGGCTGTTTCAGAGCTGGAAATAAATCGGACGAGCTTTTCCTGCCTTTAATACCTCACCCACCCCCGGCCCCACCAAAACAAGATCTTCGATAATTGTCAACACCAGAAGTCTCTTCATCATTTTTATAAGACGCGCAAGAACTAACAACTGCGCATGCGTCACGCAAAAGTGACAATGATATTGATAAAACAGTCACATACCAGCCGATTGGCTTTCAGAAACTAAACATTGAGCGTGACATTTTTAATAAATACATTCTGATTAATTTTCTTGGTATCAGCCTCAAAAATAAAAATAAAAATAATGCTGTATTGCATATCCTGATTTAATGTCTTCGAAAAGTTATTTAAATTCAGCTTTTTACGATTTTTTTTCCCCAATTCTTTTGTAGTTTTTCCTTGTCTGATCAACTTATCAGCCTAATGGTCTCGAGTGTATTTAATAAAATGAGGAATTCCTCAATGCACGACGAAATGATCCAAGCATTTAATATTGTTGTGGGGATCTGGTAAGATATAACAGTCAGTTAAATTGACAGAGACAGTCTTATTGTTGTCAAAGAGTATCCATTTCTCACCGCATGTAATGATTCGATATAAAAAATGATATAATATAATAATATTCAATACTCAGCTAGACAATATCTGACTATATTTCTGAGATGAGGTATTATGTACACTATTTACATTATTCGGACTATTGTCCTCATCTTTGTCGCCATATTTATTACTACGTTTCGGCCTTTCAGTATCTGTCTATATTTCTGAGATGAGGTATTATGTACACTATTTACATTATTCGGACTATTGTCCTCATCTTTGTCGCCATATTTATTACAACGTTTCGGCCTTTCAGTATCTGTCTATATTTCTGAGATGAGGTATTATGTACACTATTTACATTATTCGGTCTATTGTCCCTCATCTTTGCCGCCATATTTATTAAAACGTTTCGGCCTTTCAGTATCTGTCTATATTTCTGAGATGAGGTAAATTAAGTACACTATTTACATTATTCGACTATTGTCCTCATCTTTGTCGCCATATTTATTACAAACTGGTTTCGGAATTTTCAGTATCTGTCTATATTTCTGAGATGAGGTATTATATACACTATTTTATATTATTCGGACTATTGTCCTCATCTTTGAACCATATTTATCACAACGTTTCGGCCCATTAGTATCAGTCTATATTTCTGAGATGATGTATTATGTACACTATTTATATTATTTGGACTATTGTCCTCACCTTTTACCCAGAAGGAGACCCTCAGATGCACATTTTTGTACAGGTTGATTAAAAACCACATTCCATGTCGCGAAGGCTGTCACGGAACGAGTCCCAGTTTGCGTGTTGATAACAGAAAGATAGTTAGTAGAAGGTTGATGATTGGATGGGGAGTGGAAGGTGATGTTAACAGATATCACCGCGTGATCAGAGTTGCCAAAAGGGCAGAGCTGCGTGGCGCGACAAGAATCAGTAATGATTTCTGAGATGAGGTATTATGTATACTATTTACATTATTCGAACTATTGTCCTCATCTTTGTCGCCATATTTTTTACAACGTTTCGGCCTTTCAGTATCTGTTTATATTTCTGAGATGAGGTATTATGTACATTATTTACATTATTCGGACTATTGTCCTCATCTTTGTCGCCATATCTATCACCGCTGAGTATCTGTCTATATTTCTAAGATGAGGTATTATGTACACTATTTACATTATTCGGACTATTGTCCTCATCTTTGTCGCTACATTTATTACGACGTTTCGACCCTTCAGTATCTGTCTATATTTCTGAGATAGAACGTTATTGACACTATTTACATTATTCAGACTATTGTCCTCATCTTTGTTGCCATATTTATTAGAACGTTTCGGCCTTTCAGTTATGTCTATATTTCTTACATTTATTCGGACTATTTACATTATTCGGACTATTGTCTTCATCTTTGACACCATATTTATTACAACGTCTCGGTCGTTGTACACTCCAGCCTTCTTCAGGTGGTTGGAATGTCGAACTGAACCCTTTATTTCGTTCACTGGGGTAGACTGTTCTAGTTCCACGTGCCATGTTTTTAATGGATGTCAGTTATCAGTTATTATCCTGTTAATTCCTCTCTGAAAGTTCTCCACTGCCTTAACCGGGTATTGAACTCACACCCTTTGTTTCCTGTCACTGGATCTAACTAACGCCTATATCCACTGTGTCATGTCAGGACATCTGTGTATGAATTTCTGGGTATTATAAACCTAATATTTTCATCAACCATTTTTACCAGTGCTCATATTGCAATTTTTGCTGTTATAATGACATGTTTTTAACAGATCTCATATTGCAATTTTTGTTGTTATTATTGCTTTTCTCTGGCACTCCTTATATATTGTATTCATCTCTATGCTTGGTCGACTCAGGAGATTTTTTTGGCCTAGCATATGTGCTGATTCCTTAAGTTAAGTCAGTGGAGAACTTTCAGAGGGAAATTAACAAGAGAAAACAGATAACTGACATCCATTAAACATGGCACGTGGAACTAGAACAGTCTACCCCAGTCAGCGAAATAAAGGGTTCAGTTCGACATTCCAACCACCTGAAGAAGGCCTGAGTGTACAACGGCCGAAACGTTGTAATAAATATGGCGACAAAGATGAGGGCAATAGTCCAAATAATGTAAATAGTGTACATAATACCTCATCTCCGAAATATAGACAGATACTGAAAGGCCGAAACGTTGTAATAAATATGGCGGCAAAGATGAGGATAATAGTCCGAATAATGTAAATAATTCAGCTAGACAAGTCACTGCGGTAGTAATATCTTATTTTCCTCTCTAGATATTTACCCAGGACTACTTATGGTAAATAGATTCGTCCATTCGTGATAGTAGTGATTTTCAAGCGCGGCTTAGATGTGGCACAAGGACGAAAACATAGGGCACCCAGTGTGGATCGAACTCACTGGCCGTAACTGATATAGCAAGACGAGATTTCTAACGATTACACCACGTCGAGCCCCTCCCCATTTATGATAGGAGGATAACTGGCGCTTACTACGTCTTTCCGTTTGAGACGAAACGGAATACAGCGGCCACTCTTATTTTTATGGTGTTGACGGGTCCTACTAACATCTCTTACTTTCTGTTTGATATTTTATTATATTTTAGTTTGTAATTTGGGATTTATACCCTCCCCATCTCATTTCATAGCATTTCATAGAGAACTCACGGTAAACTCGGCCTTGTGCCACATACTTGTGGAGGGTGGTTAAATATAACAGCGATTAAATTTTAATTTAACTTTCGTCCGACACATCTTCAGAATAAATAAAATCGTCGGCAAATAAAATAAGATGTTGAAAAGAAAAAAATGTTTCAAGATAATGACGATAGAACTTTTTTTCTTAATTAGCAAAGATACCGCCATTTTTGCTAATAAATTCGATATTGCAGGCAGAATGGGGAAAACTCCCATAAAGAACACATATTTGCTTTTTAAGCGAGTCACAATTACATTACCGATAAGAATGTAGAATTTACGTTCCGAAAGAGATCCGTGGGCTACACGGCCCACTGATCGGCAGTAAATAATGGCGTTGAATAAAACATACAGTTACGTGTATACGAGGTTAAGTTTAGTTTTTTTTTTAGGCTTTTTGGCTATAATCAAAGTGTAGTATCTGTTCTTATCAGCTTAATCTGATTCTCTCTCTCTACCTTTAGCTTTCATTCTTTCATTTGCTCATTGTCTTTGACCCTCTTTTTAAGCCATTAAAACGGAATAGTCTATTATTTATGAGGGATTGGCAGAGCGTAACGGTCGTGCAAATTAACGAATAAAATTCTCGTTCAGCTAACTTAACTGCTTTAATCCCTGTGCAGGGAGACAAAAGTTGTTTTCCATTTGGTTGAAGGCATGGGGGTTCAACCCCTTTACAGAAGAGAACTGTTAATAACTTCTTAACCAACAGGGCATCCATACAAGTGGAAAATGGACGACACCTCCTCAGTCTAACGTAGTGAAATGAAGTCATTTTGATTCACCTTGCTAAGGACGGTCAAAGGTCATGAGGCTTGTATGTTTATTTTTTTATTTGTTTCTTTTGTCAAAACTTCTCGTCCTTTGGACTGTGTGGACAATCATTTGTTTCGGGCTATGTGGAAATCTTTTTAACATGTGTATGTAAGTTGTATTTGTCTTAACGTAATTCCCCATGTATAATACGCTTTCATCTATAATACACCCCCCCAAAAAAATCTGTGTTGAAAGTGTCGGAAAATGCTTCTACTCACGCATAATGCGCACCCCTTGTTTCCTGCTCTTATTTAAGAAAAATGATTTTAAACATAGAATAATATTATTCTAATTTAGTTTTATGATAATTCTTATTTTATTTTATATTTGTAAGTATTTTTAGGTACATATGATTGTATTTGACATCCTTATGGGGTCACAATCGCCGAATGTTAGTGTCAAATTGTCGTATGTTTGTGGTGAGAAGTCATTTCGCAATTGAAATCGACCTATGAAACGGCAATTTTTTAAAGA